CTTAGAGAGCTGTAGCTTGAAGTAACATAGCAAGGAGTGTTCTTAGAGAGCTGTAGCTTGAAGTAACATAGCAAGGAGTGTTCTTAGAGAGCTGTAGCTTGAAGTAACATAGCAAGGAGTGTTCTTAGAGAGCTGTAGCTTGAAGTAACATAGCAAGGAGTGATCTTAGAGAGCTGTAGCTTGAAGTAACATAGCAAGGGAGTGATCTTAGAGAGCTGTAGCTTGAAGTAACATAGCAAGGAGTGTTCTTAGAGAGGTAGCTTTGAAGTAACATAGCAAGGAGTGTTCTTAGAGAGCTGTAGCTTGAAGTAACATAGCAAGGAGTGTTCTTAGAGAGCTGTAGCTTGAAGTAACATAGCAAGGACTGTTCTTAGAGAGCTGTAGCTTGAAGTAACATAGCAAGGACTGTTCTTTAGAGAGCTGTAGCTTGAAGTAACATAGCAAGGACTGTTCTTAGAGAGCTGTAGCTTGAAGTAACATAGCAAGGACTGTTCTTGAGAGAGCTGTAGCTTGAAGTAACATAGCAAGGACTGTTCTTAGAGAGCTGTAGCTTGAAGTAACATAGCAAGGACTGTTCTTTGAGAGCTGTAGCTTGAAGTAACATAGCAAGGAGTGACTGTTCTTAGAGAGCTGTAGCTTGAAGTAACATAGCAAGGACTGTTCTTAGAGAGAGGTAGCTTGAAGTAACATAGCAAGGAGTGATCTTAGAGAGCGGTAGCTTGAAGTAACATAGCAAGGAGTGGTCTTAGAGAGCTGTAGCTTGAAGTAACATAGCAAGGACTGTTCTTAGAGAGCTGTAGCTTGAAGTAACATAGCAAGGAGTGATCTTAGAGAGCTGTAGCTTGAAGTAACATAGCAAGGACTGTTCTTAGAGAGCTGTAGCTTGAAGTAACATAGCAAGGAATGTTCTTAGAGAGAGGTCACTAAGCTTGAAGTAACATAGCAAGGAGTGATCTTAGAGAGCTGTAGCTTGAAGTAACATAGCAAGAACTGTTCTTAGAGAGCTGTAGCTTGAAGTAACATAGCAAGGAGTGATCTTAGAGAGCTGTAGCTTGAAGTAACATAGCAAGGACTGTTCTTAGAGAGCTGTAGCTTGAAGTAACATAGCAAGGAGTGATCTTAGAGAGCTGTAGCTTGAAGTAACATAGCAAGGACTGTTCTTAGAGAGCTGTAGCTTGAAGTAACATAGCAAGGAGTGATCTTAGAGAGCTGTAGCTTGAAGTAACATAGCAAGGAGTGATCTTAGAGAGCTGTAGCTTGTAGCTAAACATAGCAAGGAGTGATCTTAGAGAGCTGTAGCTTGAAGTAACATAGCAAGGACTGTTCTTAGAGAGCTGTAGCTTGAAGTAACATAGCAAGGAGTGATCTTAGAGAGCTGTAGCTTGAAGTAACATAGCAAGGACTGTTCTTAGAGAGCTGTAGCTTGAAGTAACATAGCAAGGAATGTTCTTAGAGAGCTGTAGCTTGAAGTAACATAGCAAGGAATGTTCTTAGAGAGCTGTAGCTTGAAGTAACATAGCAAGGACTGTTCTTAGAGAGAGGTAGCTTGAAGTAACATAGCAAGGAATGTTCTTAGAGAGCTGTAGCTTGAAGTAACATAGCAAGGAATGTTCTTAGAGAGAGGTAGCTTGAAGTAACATAGCAAGGATTTATCAGATTTGCTGGTGTTAGGTTAACCAGGATTAGAAAGCATTAAAAAGTCTTTGTCTTGGACGACTTTCTCTAGCACTTCTTTACATCTCTAGATCGTACAACAGCCACATTTAACAAGCCTTATTGGTAGTACTGTATGAAGATTTACAAAAGCTCAAATCTAAACATGAATGCGTCATCTCCTTATCTTAGGAGATTTCACACACGATTTCATATTTTTCATGATTATAGGCCGATATGTCAGTGTGTAATTCGGTTTGTAAACAAACTGAGCAGCACTGGAAGATACGGACGGTTGAACTCCGAGCACTCTGTAATTCAACAGCTTTAAATGGCTATCATGAACTGTTTCACCTTGAGCTGATGTTGACGGCTTTGTAACTTTCTCATCTGGAACTACTGCAGAGTTATTTCGATGTATTTTTAACGTTGTGTTGTTGTAGGGTAGCCTTACAAGCTATTTCCCATCAGCATTTATCTGAGTTAAACATTTGATGCATTTATAGGTTTTCTTAGGAGTCCTTGAAATACAGATCCTTACATGAGGGAAGGAAGTACATTTTTTCCAAGTATGACTCAAGGCACTGGTAAACAGGTAAAACTGTTTTCAATAAAAAAATCGGTTATGTAGAAGGGACTATACAATATGTTCTGTATACCCGAGATCTGCAAGAGTTGAAGGCCATTTTGTAAGGAATGGAGAGTTTACAAGGACACACACGAGAATGTCAAAATGTAGGAAAATAATCTGTTTAACATGCAATCTAATTAATGTGTTGGTTTAAAATGATAAATACCTGACTGTCCATGCCAGAAAGCTACTGGAGTCCTTCAATCAATTGAATTTTTATTTTGTATATCTGTGAATGTTTTTCTGATGTTCGAGATAAATATATTGTGAAATATTTTAGTCAACCTCCTACAATAAACAACTTTATAAATATTATGCAATCTACCAGTGTTGATGTGATTAAGAAGGTTAGCCTATTTTGATATAATGAACAAATTAGAGTTAAGAGCAGAGCTTGTTTATAACTCTGTGTGTACCATTCATGTGATGTGTAACCATGCATCTGTCTGTATTATGGGCCAGTGGCCTTTTACTGAATAAAACTGTCTGTCTGTGTGTGTGTGTGTGTGTCTGTCTGTCTGTCTGTCTGTCTAATCAAGTGAATGACATCACAGATGTGGTATGTTCCCATGTTCCCATGTTTATCAGGGTATTTTCTTTGTTTTGGCTTGTGTGAAAAACATTCTTATTTTCATAATTCATCACATGGTATTTTCATTAGAAGAAGTACCATTTCCTGTTTTTGACAACACCAGGAACTAAATCCAGGCACAGGACCATGTTGCTAATATTCCAGTTAACTATCTCGCCAAATACAGCATTGTCCGTGACATGTAACTATTGAATATTCATCATGCAATCATGTGATCCATGACATTACTACCATAAGCATGGTTCCAATCGCCGGTTGAAGTCATAGAATTTGTAACCCTGTCCACTTCAGCTGGGGTTTCTGGAGCAGAATAACTACGACTTCCGTGTCTTGTAAGGATCTGAGTCAAAGAAGGCATTGTATTAGGACCGAGTACCACTTGGTATGCGTGTGGGTAAATCAGTAAACATAGAAAATGTAAGTGACGCCATGGGATTTGATTGGGAAACCAAGCAACTGCTTGGAACATAAACTGAAGTATTTTAGTTACAGCCACTGTCACCAGATAGGCTGAGAATTTGATTTGTTAAGTTACTGTGAATGTAGACTAATGCCTAGTCTCTGAATATATAACTTTGATTGTAACAAGTAAACCCATTTAAATTGAAAAGGAGCCCAAGGCAGACCAGAGATTTAGAACCTGGGGAAATCTAGACTTGCTTCAGTTAGGGCTTTAGCATTGCAGGGAGGGCTAGGCTGTAGGGAAAATAATATGGTTCAGGGGCTGTGAGACAGATTACTTTGAATGATGTGGCTGATTTCCTATTGTCTACAATTTTTTGTGTTAATGTATAATTCTAATTCAACTTAGTATGTAACACGAGTTCTGATTGGTCAATGCTATAAATTTCCGACCGTATAATCAGCTTTTACGGTCGCAATTTGAAAACCGATTCACCGAAACCTTTGAATGTATCCCTACACTATTGGGGTAACGCTGTTTCGCAGGACGTTGTCATTTGCAGAAGCCATTGGTCAATTAACTCCCCTATCCAGCTAAAATGGGTGGAATTTGTGTTAAAAAAGACAAAACAGTATCATAAATTTAATTTTAAGTTCAAACAGCTTACTCAAGAAGCGGGCTGTTGACCCAACACTGTTAGATCATGAAACAAGGTTTATGACGTCATTATGGAGCGTGGACGTGACCTGCTATGACGTCATTTGACAACAGAACTGATAATGGCCCGTAGTTGAGGAATCAGCGGGCCGCTCATTTCTGTAACTAGAGGGCGGTTTCATCATAATACCGTCCATTTTATCTATACTACTATGATCTATTCATCATTGTCAAATTTAGTCTGTGTGCACATAATAAACATGTGTAGTTTGAAAAGGGAACTACTTTCTCTGGCGATGGTGTAAGTTGAAGGAGTGATATGATTAACCTTTGACCTAGAGGAACTTTGACCTGGTTTAAATAATGAATTTCTTTCACAAAAAAACAGCGGAAAAAAGTTGAATTAGAATGGGGATAACTGTACTGTGTTTGACGAATTGGGGACGTATACCGGTGGTTATATAGCCGCAAATTTAATGTTATATCGCGCGCGTCGCCGATATAACGTTAAATTTGCGGCTATATAACCACCGGTATAACCACCGGTATACGTCCCCAATTCGTCAAACACAGTACAGTTATCCCCTAAATATGCTGTCTGTGAAGTGATTTGTTAGCTTTCTTATTCAAGAGAATGTATGTAAATGTGTTGTTTGTGTTTTTTGAGGTAAATCATTTACACTGTGCACTCAGATTTTACATTTATGTTGCAATCAACTCAGAAGAATTTAGTCAGCTGTGATGTGGCACCGACCAAGAACGAATTGTCATTAAACAGACAGTATGTATGCAGTAGCAATGTACAACTGGAAAATATATACCTTGTTATCATGGCAGCAGACATTTTGCCAAGACATTCTACTCCCTGCAATATCATGGGTGGTGGAGTGGCTTACTGGTTAAGGTGTTGTTCACGCCGAACACGCGGGTTCGATTCCCCACATGGGTACAATGTGTGAAGCCCATTTAAAAAATGGAAGCCAGACAACTGGTAATCCAGATCTGTATTTTATTGTATGAGAATTATGTCTGAGGTAAATATAACATTAATGTTTGTATTGAAGGTTCACGACAGTGTTCAAGGCTCAGAATCAGTTGTGGAACTACACCTTCAACCCATGTGTTCCGTACACCCTTCCTTTCAAGAACCCCCACGAACCTTTTGGTGATCGCTGTCATTCTGTATCGGTAAGTATCAAACCTTCATCTTGCACATACCCTGCACCTTAACAAACACTCTTGATCATAGCTGCTCTTGTAAGTAGGATATGTATTAAATTTGTTTTAAGAAACATAGTTGAAAGTGCTGTTCAACTTTTTGCTGAGAATACAGAACTAGGAGTACATATTATTAAATCATACATTAGGCCTGACCAATTTTATTTCTTGTTTTACGGATCCGCCGGTCGTATTTTTTCAAGAATTAGAATTTTTTTTTATAATTTTCCCAGCTCAAAAAATAAAATCCTCAAGTCTTCATTGGCCAAAAATGTAAACTTACAAAAAAAAATGTTTTGATTTTTTTTTACCCCATATACACTTCATAAATTGCCAAAAATACAATACTTTTAGTATTTAAAAGGAATATTACTTTGACTGGTGATTTTTATTTGTTATTTTTTTAGGTTTTCTGAGGACAAAAATCCGTAAGACAAGAAATAAAATTGGTCTGGCCTTATTAGCATGATTAGTTGTACAGAATTTAGCATTATATGTAAAGTTGTAGAACAATCTGTCATGTTATGTATGATTAGTTGTACCCCTTATAGGACAAGGTGTGAAGTAATGTTTATTAGTTACAGAATACAGAACCAGGTGTAAAGTCATCTATAAGTAGTTCTTCAGTTAGTTGTTTACAAATGATCTTTAAACTGGTACGTATTATTAATGTTATTGCATGACATCCACTAACTCGTATCTTTGCAGAAAAAACCATGATGTACAAAGTTCTAAATACCATGGGCTTGTTTTGTTTTGATCAATAGCTTCCCTTGTAACGTGACACCTGATTAGATAGGGCACCTGTCAGGTGGACATGACACTCTTGTAGGACTTCAGCTGATTTGCTGTCTCTGTTTGTGGGGGCCTTTTAAGATGACTCGTGTATAGTTACATACAGCTAGCATTTTTGTGTTCAGTCTCAGTCTTGGCGATGATATGATAGTATGTGGCATGGATCTGACAAAACTCAGAAATGTCTCTGTTTGTGCATATGTGGGTGCGTGTGTCTTGCCTGCGTGAGACAGACCTACAGAATCAGATACTCTCGTCAATGTACAATAGCAAGTAAATCAGCTTCAAATAAACTTTAATAAAAAGAAGTGAATAAAATGATAAGTGACCAGTGAGGGAAAGATGTGGGCTCATTGATGACCATTTTATTGATGTTGTGCTGTTGGATGTGAGCATTGATGGTTCATGCACAGGAACCCTTGAAGATCCATGTTAGAATTGGTCTTCAGTCACCTTTGCTTGTCGTAAGAAGCAACTAATGGAATCGGGTGGTCAGGCTCGCTGACTTTGTTGACATGTGTCGAGATTGTATCCCAATTGCGTAGGTTCATACTCACACTGTTGATCACTGGATTGTCTGGTCCAGACTTGATTATTTACAGACTGCCACCATATAGCTGGAATATTGCTGAGTGCGGCGTAAAACTCCACTTACTCACTCACTCAGAAGTATGGTTCACCGCTCGTTTTGAAAATGAGACAAGAAGGGTGTCTGTCCTGATAATACTGCCCCTACACATTATGGGGAGTGTTTCACCCTGTCACACTGATGCTACTCCACACCATATACAGTCCACCTCCTAATTTGTCATGAGGTCTCAGATTGAACAAGTATATATGGATGACAACTTCTTAAATTCTATGATGTTTCGATATATGTTCTTGTAACCTTTTCAAGTATGAATAATTCGTACCGTATATTACCATATATTAGCTGACCCCATAGATAAGCCGACCCCCAAACTTGACCCTTAAAATCAGTGTCAAAATGGTATGTTTCGTACATAAGCCGATCCCCCACAGGGCAAACACAGACCACAGACAACTGGCAGTTACCAATAATTATAACTTTGGTCCACATTATTCAAAGAATTCACAATCATATTCCATCTACTCACGCATCGAAATGAAGTGTAGTTTACAGAAAATGGATAATATATTTTGTTTCACTAAATATCATACTTATTGTAGCTGGATGATCACATGCTTAGTTTACCCCATTCAACAATCACGAACTGATTACCACCTCGTTTTCTAAGGACTGCTAGTTTACAGTAACATGGGTAAAAATGAGTAAATTTAAATGGCTTGCTTATTTTACCCCATTCCATGTGTGTACAACTTCTGTACTTGAAAATGATACAAGAACCTGTATCGAATAATTCATACTTGAATTCATAATTGAATAATTCATACTTGAAAATGATAAAGAACCTGTATCGAAAAGTCGTGCTCTAGAATAAAAGAAGTTGTCATCCAAATATATACTTGTTCTATCTGACGACCAACTTCGAAAATGCCTCTCTCAGAAGGTCTCAGATTGATGGTGGCTATTCACTATTTGAACTGGAGTTCATAGGGCGTGGACTTTACCAGTTGATGCTGTTGATCAAGGATGTCCTGGACAGTGTCGATCATCACCCACTGGGGTCTTTGGTACCCGTTACATGGTCTGTATATCACAGTCTGTGACACATTGACTGCCACTGCACTCTAACGTTCCAGCATGTTTCCACTGTGCCTGGAGCCCGAAATAGTGGGCCAAAGAGATTGTAAGCATCAAAACCTATCAGATGTGTTTTGGTGTAAAGCTTCACAGACATTAATGTTCTTCCAATGGATGTTTTTCAGCAAAACCTATCTTTGTCCTCATGCTTGGATTTCACATCTGTTTTGCCCCTACCTTTTCAAGAGTAAAGCAGTATGTTTCATCTGCAGTATAAATACTTGTACAGTCATAAGGCCTTAATGATTTACGTAGACCAGAGTGCACAGTGGTCGATATGCATTCACAGATCTGCAGTAAATGTCAGCAATATTCCCAAATTAGAATCAGAAATATCTCAGGGAGTTATTATGGTTAGTTATTATTGGTGCATGAGTACATGGATTAGTTGAGGTGACACATGATTTCAGTGATTTTAATAGAGGAATACTTTGAATGCAGTGTTACCATGTAATACAGTTAGCTACCTTGTAACAGACATGCACATTATGAACTGACAGACAGACCTGGATAGCTGCTGTATATTTTAGTCAAAATGTATATAACAAACTATTATTAGTGGTCTCTACGGGTTCCTTATAACCATAGTTTACTGTATTTAATTACCACTGAATTAAAAAAACATAGAACTAAAATAGACGTTAACAATTTTTCTAAAGAAAATTCATTTGGATCTTTGTGAAATCTATGACTTCAGGTGTACAGCATGGTGTGTTAGAATAACCATAGTAATATCAACAAATCTGTGTTTTCTTTTGTATATTACTTGATGAAGGAGGTATAGACAGATTGCTACAGGATGTCAACACAATTGCAAATCTAGTTTTTAGATCTATGTTCCTACACCTTGCCCCTAGTGTGGCGCCAAGGATATTTGCCTTTTTTTACTGATCACAACTGATAGGCAGTTGGACTCCAAGTAGTATCTCACTAGGGCCAAGATGACCTGCCACCTCATTTCAATGTTATCACTTGGATTGAAGTCAAGTGATGTCCCCGCCGTGAAAGTACTATTGTGGGCAATACAACATCCCAATTGACATAAACGTAATTACCACTTGACTGTGTGATTCGAACAGCCATAAAAAGATTCAAGTTTGTTCAATGTATCTTGTCCCTTCCATTTCCAAGACCTTCAGCACATTTTTATTCGTTCACTATGGTTGTACCACCCAAAATGTGAAGTTAAAAAAAATGATTCCATCTTTAGTCAGGTGAGCTACAGAGCCTTATGGCTCTACTTTGTAAATGTTCTTGTTTGTGATTGATGGAGGAAGCAGCAAAGGAACCCATTAGTTCCTGTCAAGGGTCCTCATTTGAGTTATAGGGGTCCAGTCATGCCACACAATCCTCATTTGAGTTATAGGGGTCCAGTCATGCCACACAATCCTCATTTGAGTTATAGGGGTCCAGTCATGCCACACAAGCCTCATTTGAGTTATAGGGGTCCAGTCATGCCACACAAGCCTCATTTGAGTTATAGGGGTCGAGTCATGCCACACAATCCTCATTTGAGTTATAGGGGTCCAGTCATGCCACACAAGCCTCATTTGAGTTATAGGGGTCCAGTCATGCCACACAATCCTCATTTGAGTTATAGGGGTCCAGTCATGCCACACAATCCTCATTTGAGTTATAGGGGTCCAGTCATGCCACACAATCCTCATTTGAGTTATAGGGGTCCAGTCATGCCACACAATCCTCATTTGAGTTATAGGGGTCCAGTCATGCCACACAATCCTCATTTGAGTTATAGGGGTCCAGTCATGCCACACAATCCTCATTTGAGTTATAGGGGTCCAGTCATGCCACACAAGCCTCATTTGAGTTATAGGGGTCCAGTCATGCTACACAATCCTCATTTGAGTTATAGGGGTCCAGTCATGCCACACAAGCCTCATTTGAGTTATAGGGGTCCAGTCATGCCACACAATCCTCATTTGAGTTATAGGGGTCCAGTCATGCCACACAATCCTCATTTGAGTTATAGGGGTCCAGGCATGCTACACAATCCTCATTTGAGTTATAGGGGTCCAGTCATGCCAAACAATCCTCATTTGAGTTATAGGGGTCCAGGCATGCTACACAATCCTCATTTAAGTTATTGGGGTCCAGTCATGCTACACCATCCTCATTTGAGTTATTGGGGTCCAGTCATGCCACACAATCCTCATTTGAGTTATAGGGGTCCAGTCATGCCACACAATCCTCATTTGAGTTATAGGGGTCCAGTCATGCCACACAATCCTCATTTGAGTTATAGGGGTCCAGGCATGCTACACAATCCTCATTTGAGTTATAGGGGTCCAGTCATGCCACACAATCCTCATTTGAGTTATAGGGGTCCAGGCATGCCACACAATCCTCATTTGAGTTATAGGGGTCCAGTCATGCCACACAATCCTCATTTGAGTTATAGGGGTCCAGTCATGCCACACAATCCTCATTTGAGTTATAGGGGTCCAGTCATGCTGCACAATACTCATTTGAGTTATAGGGGTCCAGGAATGCTGCACAATACTCATTTGAGTTATAGGGGTCAAGGCATGCTACACAATCCTCATTTAAGTTATTGGGGTCCAGTCATGCTACACAATCCTCATTTGAGTTATTGGGTCCACTCATGCCACACAATCCACATTTGAGTTATAGGGGTCCAGTCATGCTACACAATCCTCATTTGAGTTATAGGGGTCCACTCATGCCACACAATCCTCATTTAAGTTATTGGGGTCCAGTCATGCTACTCAATCCTCATTTGAGTTATAGGGTCCACTCATGCCACACAATACTCATTTGAGTTATAGGGGTCCAGTCATGCCACACAATCCTCATTTGAGTTATAGGGGTCCAGGCATGCTACACAATCCTCATTTAAGTTATTGGGGTCCAGTCATGCTACACAATCCTCATTTGAGTTATTGGGTCCACTCATGCCACACAATCCACATTTGAGTTATAGGGGTCCAGTCATGCTACACAATCCTCATTTGAGTTATAGGGGTCCAGTCATGCCACACAATCCTCATTTAAGTTATTGGGGTCCAGTCATGCTACTCAATCCTCATTTGAGTTATAGGGGTCCAGGCATGCTGCACAATACTCATTTGAGTTATAGGGGTCCAGGCATGCTACACAATCCTCATTTAAGTTATTGGGGTCCAGTCATGCTACACAATCTTCATTTGAGTTATAGGGGTCCAGGCATGCTGCACAATACTCATTTGAGTTATAGGGGTCCAGGCATGCTACACAATCCTCATTTAAGTTTTTGGGGTCCAGTCATGCTACACAATCCTCATTTGAGTTATTGGGTCCACTCATGCCACACAATCCACATTTGAGTTCTAGGGGTCCAGTCATGCTACACAATCCTCATTTGAGTTATAGGGGTCCACTCATGCCACACAATCCTCATTTAAGTTATTGGGGTCCAGTCATGCTACTCAATCCTCATTTGAGTTATAGGGTCCACTCATGCCACACAATACTCATTTGAGTTATAGGGGTCCAGTCATGCCACACAATCCTCATTTGAGTTATAGGGGTCCAGGCATGCTACACAATCCTCATTTAAGTTATAGGGGTCCAGTCATGCTACACAATCCTCATTTGAGTTATTGGGTCCCTCATACACACAATCCACATTTGAGTTATAGGGGTCCAGTCATGCTACACAATCCTCATTTGAGTTATAGGGGTCCAGTCATGCCACACAATCCTCATTTAAGTTATTGGGGTCCAGTCATGCTACTCAATCCTCATTTGAGTTATAGGGGTCCAGGCATGCTGCACAATACTCATTTGAGTTATAGGGGTCCAGGCATGCTACACAATCCTCATTTAAGTTATTGGGGTCCAGTCATGCTACACAATCTTCATTTGAGTTATAGGGTCCAGGCATGCTGCACAATACTCATTTGAGTTATATAGGGGTCAAGGCATGCTACACAATCCTCATTTAAGTTATTGGGGTCCAGTCATGCTACACAATCCTCATTTGAGTTATTGGGTCCACTCATGCCACACAATCCACATTTGAGTTCTAGGGGTCCAGTCATGCTACACAATCCTCATTTGAGTTATAGGGGTCCAGTCATGCCACACAATCCTCATTTAAGTTATTGGGGTCCAGTCATGCTACTCAATCCTCATTTGAGTTATAGGGGTCCAGGCATGCTGCACAATACTCATTTGAGTTATAGGGGTCCAGGCATGCTACACAATCCTCATTTAAGTTATTGGGGTCCAGTCATGCTACACAATCCTCATTTGAGTTATAGGGGTCCAGGCATGCTGCACAATACTCATTTGAGTTATAGGGGTCCAGGCATGCTACACAATCCTCATTTAAGTTATTGGGGTCCAGTCATGCTACACAATCCTCATTTGAGTTATTGGGTCCACTCATGCCACACAATCCACATTTGAGTTATAGGGGTCCAGTCATGCTACACAATCCTCATTTGAGTTATAGGGGTCCAGTCATGCCACACAATCCTCATTTAAGTTATTGGGGTCCAGTCATGCTACTCAATCCTCATTTGAGTTATAGGGTCCACTCATGCCACACAATCCTCATTTGAGTTATAGGGGTCCAGTCATGCCACACAATCCTCATTTGAGTTATAGGGGTCCAGGCATGCTGCACAATACTCATTTGAGTTATAGGGGTCCAGGCATGCTACACAATCCTCATTTAAGTTATTGGGGTCCAGTCATGCTACACAATCCTCATTTGAGTTATTGGGTCCACTCATGCCACACAATCCACATTTGAGTTATAGGGGTCCAGTCATGCTACACAATCCTCATTTGAGTTATAGGGGTCCAGTCATGCCACACAATCCTCATTTAAGTTATTGGGGTCCAGTCATGCTACTCAATCCTCATTTGAGTTATAGGGTCCACTCATGCAACACAATCCTCATTTGAGTTATAGGGGTCCAGTCATGCTACACAATCCTCATTTGAGTTATAGGGTGTCCACTCATGGCACACAACCTCATTTGAGTTATAGGGGTCCAGTCATGCCACACAATCCTCATTTGAGTTATAGGGGTCCAGTCATGCACACAATCCTCATTTGAGCTTTAGGGGTCCAGTCATGTCACACAATCCTCATTTGAGTTATAGGGGTCCAGTCATGCCACACAATCCTCATTTGAGTTATAGGGGTCCAGGCAGGCCACACAATCCTCATTTGAGTTATAGGGGTTCAGTCATGCTACACAGTGGAACATCAAACTACAACTTGTTAGAAATGATGTTGAATAACTAAAGTTTGTAAGAAACCTGAAATGAACTTTGTGAACTTCAGAAGACTGGTACTTCTCAAACCAATGATGTGACCCCTTCTGTCAGAGTGTTTCTGAATGGCGTCCTGTTCTTGTGTGTTGCAGATCTGCCAGTACAGTGATATACAAGAGCCTGGCTTCTACTATGCGTTGGTCGTGCAAGATAAGGCTTACTTCAAGGCAGGACGGGACCGCCAGGACTTGCTTCATGTTGAACTGCGATTCAGAGGAGTAGAGTGAGTTGTTTCTACTGTAGGCTGTCTTATGTTGAGTTAAATGATACTTTGAACAATTTACTGCTCATGTGGTGTGGTGGCTCTATGGTGGTGTGCATAGAGCTCAAGTCACAAATCAGGTGAAGTTAAGCAGCTTTGGGCGCAGAGAGTCCTTGGATGGGTGACCATGTTTGGCAGCATGACTCCTGAGAGTTTCTAGGACTTCAGTCCTGCCCCACAATGAAGCACATGTGATACATGTGGTTTCACCTTAGGCAAAGGAATTTGTTCAAAACTGCCTCTGTTCAGCCAGCAGAAAATGGGCACCCAGTGGGATAAAGTCATTTGACTATAACCTTCTAGAGCCTAACAGGCAGCTTGGGTTATCCAGGGTAATAATAATCAAATTGTTTGGGCGCTTAGAACATGCATTGTGCATGGAGAATTGCGCATGATAAATGGGGTATTATTATATTATCATGTGACCTGTCAGCTTCATATTGTGGAAGGAGAACCTGCTGTCATGGCTGTTCAAGTATGATGGTGGTAAATGAAGGATGTGGACTGGGACAAATCTGGCAGTTGGAACCCATGTTTAATGGATCCTGGAATAACTAAGGGACATAACTGCACTGCAGACTGATGAGCTTCAAACCACATCTCATCATTGCTTTTACAATTTAGCTTGTGCATTAATCCCTTTCATTTTATTTTAACCCTGTTTTAACATTATAGTGGATCAGATGTTTGATAGGCATTTAGAAATTGCTAGGGTAATACAAGATACTTGATATGGATGTGCAACTTCTATATTATTGGGCAAGTATTCGCCCAGAAGCGTCGTGTGTAAATGATAACCCTGTTTTAAAGTTGCAGATGTTTGAACCATATCAATACAAGATGTATTGTGCAACTTCTGAGTGGATCACCCAGAACCAATCCTCTTTACTCAACTCATCTGTTGTGTGTTAAAGTTGACGGTACCAAAATCTGAGGTTTGGCGTACATGCAGATATTGTTTTAATTGCTGAAAATGAGAATGATTTAAATGTTATGTTGGACTGTTTACATAATTGGTGTATATCCAATAAGATGACTGTCAATAATGTTAAATCCAAAGTTGTTCATTTTAGACGCCCGTCAGTTCCAAGAAATAATGTTTTATTTGTATGTGGTGATATGGAATTAGAAACAACACATTGATATAATTATTTAAGTTTAGTTTTAACAGAGCATTTAGATTATTTAAGTATGGCATAATCTGTAGCTAATTCCGCCAGTTGGGCACTAAGTATAAATTGTTAGGCAGGCAGTAGATCAAGATTAGTATGACTCTGACCAGTGAGTCATGTTCATTATAAGAGTAACAATTTGCCTACATTGTTTTTGTATGAGAAATGGGATGAAGGCGAAGTGAGATGTAGGCGAATAGAGACTTAACCTTAAGAAACCCACTTCGCCTTTGTCATCGCAATCCAGACACATGCTACTTTCCTAGCAATATTGTCACAAGTCTTCAGTAATACTCCCATTTGTGTTGCAGGTCAATGAGGCGGAGAGAAGTTGTTGTACGGCTGGTTTGTGATGAGGAGAGGACATTGGTTGAAGATGGACTGTTTCGGATTGTAAAGGACATCGGCCGAGGAGAGCCTGTGGTAAATATGTTCTTATGAACCAGTTCCTTCACACCCTAAAAGATATACTGTACTCATAAAAACTGTATTTTTATCAAAGTTTTGCTGCCATAGTGTTAAAATCCCTTTGTGAAACGGGAAGCTCATTCTCTTCCCACAGAGGTTACTTTTCATATCTTCCTTCGAACCTCTGTTTTAATACGGCCCTTTCATGGTGCGAGTGTTCAGGCTTCGTCATTGGTTGCAATCAGATTTAGTTCTGCAATCAGCGACGTTGTTTCAAAAGTGATCATTCGCAAGATCTCGGTAATTTCTGTATGCTTCAGGAAAACTAGAACCTCTTCCCCTGCGCGATGCGCAAACGTTTCTTCTAGACAGAACTCAGTCATGTAATGTCGGATCAATGGCATCTCCATCGCCCTCGTTGACAACAGACAAGCTAGCCATTAAATGTCTTGTGTGTCACATCAACACAATTCCCTGCTGATTGGGGACATTTGTGGCCTCACATTTGTTTGTATTAGTCAAGCTGGATCTAAGTCGACGTAACACATGTTCTGATTGGATAAAAAGAAGGGAGATAATTTGTGTTGCGACTTTTTGCCGCTAGAGGATTTTGCGAGAACCGGGAAATATGGCCGTATTAGAACAGAGGTTTGTAGGAAGATATGACAAGTAACCTCTGTGGGAAGAGAATGCGGGAAGCTGTACACAAAGGTAACTTACATGGTGACTACCTGGCCACAATGGCATCTTTGTGTGTCCTGGTTTGACATGTGAGCTGATGGAAATATCACCGGGTATTACGCCTTCCCATACAGTATGTTGATAAGTGAATCCAAGGGTTTATCTAGCTTTCTCTGAGGCTGTTATTTGGCCAAAAGTCTGCAGTATTGTCAGTAAAACATCCCACATGGAATTTCAAAGTTCTTTTATTGTAAAAATAGTTGTGATGGATGTGAAACTGTGTGGAGGTGGCCAGTATTCATTTATTTATGATTCAATGCAATGTTGAAAATTCCCTTAATTTAAAATATTAAGAAAAATCCCAAGTTTGAGCAAAATAATGGTTTGTAGGCACCGAGGGGCACAAGGGATTCTGGTTTAATTCTTGTTTTTAACGTTGCAGGAAGCAGAGCTTCATCACAAATGCTGTTGTCCCAATGGCTGTTTAGGAAAGTCTCTGGATGGTACGTGTTATGAATTATTAAAAATATTGGTCAAAAAGAACAAAACTCAGCCATGGCTTGCAAGACATGGCTTCCAATATGTTAGACAATTATAGGATTTGGGTGACAACAGATCTGGCTGTGTGGTGCATTTGTCCATAAAAAGTCTGGGTTTGTTTCTCTAGTTGTGTAGTATGTGTAAGAGCTGTTGTTTGTGTCACGAGTGTGATAACTCACTACAACGTCTGGAGACTTGCCAGTAGGTGGACAGACCACCAACAGAAAGAAGTCGTGGTTGACGTGTCTATGTCAGTGCAGACATGCAATCTAAGACACTCGTTAATGCTTCTTGTACCTGCTCATCTGCAACACTTTAAGATAATGACTCGCCCCAACATCTCGGATGGAAACAGGAAATGTGGAGCATGTATCAAGTTCCTGTCTGAGTTTCCATCCAGACAGTTACATCGCTGTCATTGTATTGGAGGGTGTTCATGGGAGGGTTTGTCAAGCAGTACATAATATTTGGCAACGTTCGTCAGTAGTATGTATTTTTAAAAAAAAGTCAGTAAAAGTTTAACAAAAATGCTTGAATGTCAAGCAGGCTGTCACGTTACATAACTGTGAAACTCTATGGAAGCATTAATTCCAATTAACTGGTTTTGTTGCCTCATTAGATATAGTAAAGTACAACTTTTAGAAATCTCAGCACGATTGTGAAAAGGACACAACAGAATTTATGTTTGGCAGTTTTGCATTGATCTTTTACATTTAATTTTGCTTCATCTTCTGTTTCTGCTTTTTGTTGTCTTGTACTGAACAGTCCCCCCTCCCCTGAGGACCCCCATACATACTTTCTCCACTCAGTGTCTGTAAACATGGGTATTGTATTACATCTACATCAGTCTGTGAACTTACTTTGTCTCCCAGATATTTCACATATATGACATGCATTTGGAACAGTAATAAATGATATAAACAGCCAAAGATAATAGACTTTCTACCATACAAAACTATATGGCTGAAAAAAAGTCCTTAAAGAATATCCTTTTTATATTGCTAGTTGTATAGTCACGTGTTGACTACGTGGCTGCAACTGGTTACATCACCTGTCTGAAGAGACTTACATAACTGATGTTAACCATGGCAGCATGTTCAGATGTTTCTTCCCATCTGTTTGAAGAACAGAACAATCTTAGAACTGTTTGTATGAATCTTATTTTTGTTAAAAGATTTACTGAATTTTTAACCAAACTCCATAATTCAAATTATGAACGCTTTTGCCAGGGAGTTATCTGTTCTCAACTCTGCAGTTTGAAGATTTGTCACGGTAACCCCTGAAGCAAACAAAATTGATTTCTATTGTATAAAGTAGGTTTTTGTCAGTGGAAACTATACTTCAATACGATAAGACTGCTTGAATAAACTTGCTTCATCGATTGGAACAGAGATAATGTGAACAATCTTTCTCCAAGATATTGAAGAATCCTTCCTGTACAAGTATGTGTGTCATACTGCATGGTGTCGAGGGATGTTAAACACTCACTCACACACGGTGATGAAGTGGCTTAAGGGAAACTGATGGTGGAATGTTGCTTCCATATTTCTTAAGTGTTGTTGTGGCTACAATCTTGCTCATCTTCAAGGATGTTGCAGACTTAGCATACCTTCTAAATGTAGCGTCAGAGTTGCACGCGGGGGTTACAGTGTTTTCACTAAGGTTACAGTGCTGCTCATTGAATTGACAAACTTCCTTTCCAAGGTCACAGTGTTACTCAGTAACAGTACAGTGTTGCTCAGTGTGTTGGTGAACAACACTACTCTGTTTCACATGTAGGTTACAATGTTGTTCTCTAAGGGTAGAGTACAGTGTTGCTAAGGTTACAGTGTTGTTGGTGAGCACAACACTACTAAGGTTAAATGTTGTTCACAAATGTAGGTTACAGTGTTGTGCACTCACAAAGGGTAGAGCACTTATTAAGGTGTTTCTCTAAGGGTTACAATGTTGTTCTCACAAAGGGTAGCAGTACAGGCGTTGTTCAACAATGTTCACTAAGGTTACACTGTTGTTCACAAAGGGTAGAGCACTACTTATTAAGGTTACAATGTTGTTCTCTAAGGGTAGAGTGCAATGTTCACTAAGGTTAAATGTTGTTCACAAAGGGTAGAGCATTGCTTATTAAGGCTACAATGTTGTTCTCTAAGGGTAGAGTACAATGTTTGTTAAATGTTGTTCACAAAGGGTAGAGCATTACTTATTAAAGTTACAATGTTGTTCTGTAAGGGTAGAGTACAATGTTCACTAAGGTTACAATGGTTCACAAAGGGAGTATTTTACTTGCTAAGGTTACAATGTTGTTCATGTTGTTCACAAAGGTAGAGAGCACTACTACTTATAGAGTATTTCTTGCTAAGTTACAATGTTGTTCATGAAGGGTAGAGTATTTCTTGCTAAAGTTACAATGTTGTTCATGAAGGGTAGAGTATTTCTTGCTAAAGTTACAATGTTGTTCATGAAGGGTAGAGTACAATGTTCACTAGATTACTTATTAAGGTTACAATGTTGTTCTCTAAGGGTAGAGTACAATGTTCACTAAGGTTAAATGTTGTTCATGAAGGGTAGAGTATTTCTTGCTAAAGTTACAATGTTGTTCATGAAGGGTAGAGTATTTCTTGCTAAAGTTACAATGTTGTTCATGAAGGGTAGAGTATTTCTTGCTAAGTTACAATGTTGTTCAGTATGGTTACAATTTAGCTCTCTGTGGTTGCTGTGTTGGTCATTAAGTTAACAGAGTTACTGGAAACATTTACACTGTAACTCAGTAAGGCTACAGTATTGCTCATTGTAGTTACATGTTGTTCACGAAGTTAATAGTGTTGTTCAGAGGTAACAGTTAAGCTTACTCAGGTTAAGCTGCTAAGTAACACTGCAAGGCTCTTCACTAAAGTTACAACATTGTTTCCTTATTTCAAGGTCCCTCTGAAAACATAAACTGCATAGAACTTATACCCATAAACCCAGGACAATCTCACAGCTGAGACAGCTTCGTTGATGTCTAAATGTTGCTGTTGTTGCAGTGTTGCTTCTGTATTCCAGAGTCCAAGGGGAAGAAGGGAGCAGATGGTGGGACGTTGCTGATCCTGGTGGGGACGGTGGTCACATTGCTGTTTGTTGCTGCTGCTATCGGGGGTCTGTGTTACATCAAGAGCACCCAGCTGCAGATCTACTACAAGTTACCAGGTATGATCTGTCTGTACTGACACACTCTGTCAGGCAAAGTCAGCATTATTCCAGCTGTGTAATCTTGCATTATATCAAGTCTCAACGAGAAAACCATTGTTTTAGCTTATGAGCAATGTCCTGTCTTGGCAGTGTGTACTATGTTAAATCTCTGAGCCTGACAGCCTAATCCAGTATTCTCAACTCCTTCAACAAGCGATAGATTGATGGGGCCTCATGTAAACCCTATCATTTATGTGAACCCTGATCCCAAATGTAAATACTAAACCCTGATTACTGAAGTAACCCCAATCCCTGATGTGAACACCTGTATGCTTGATGTAAACCCTCATCCCCAAGTTACCCCAATCCCTGAAGTGAACACCTGTATGCTTGATGTAAACCCTCATCCCCAAGTTACCCCAATCCCTGAAGTGAACACCTGTATGCTTGATGTAAACCCTCATCCCCAAGTTACCCCAATCCCTGAAGTGAACACCTGTATGCTTGATGTAAACCCTCATCCCCAAGTTACCCCAATGCCTGACGTAGATGCTCATATCCCTGATGTAAAACATGATCACTATTGTAAACCCTAAGCCCCAATCCCTGAAGTAAATCCCAATATCAGAGATGTAAACCCCAATCCCTGATGTAAACAAATATCCCTGATTTAAACCCCGATCCCTGATGTAAACCCCAATCACTGATGTAAAGCCCTGTCCCTGATGTAAACCCCGATCCCTGATGTAAACCCCAATCACTGCTGTAAAGCCCTGTCCCTGATGTAAACCCCGATCCCTGATGTAAACCCCAATCCCTGATGTAAACCCCAATCACTGATGTAAACCCCTATCCCTGATGTAAACCCTTATCACTGATGTAAACCCCAATCCCTGATGTAAACCCCAATCACTGATGTAAACCCCTATCCCTGATGTGAACCCTAATCACTGATGTAAACCCCGATCCCTGATGTAAACCCCAATCACTGATGTAAACCCCAATCCCTGATGTAAAGCCCTATCCCTGATGTAAACCCCAATCAGTGATGTAAACCCCAATCATTGATGTAAACCCCAATCACTGATGTAAACTCTGATCCCTCTTTTAAACCCTGATCCCAGATTTACACAGAGATCCCTACAGAGGGGATTTGGTCTTTATGGACTGTGATGCTCACAACCCTTGAAGTGTTCTACAGATAATGGGTATGAGAGAGTAAGCATATGATGCATACCATGACCTAGACCATGACCTAGACCCTGATCGATAGAAAGGATTTGCCAGCTCCAATAAGGCACCATTATCTAAAGTGTATCCAAGCATTGCATCTGTTTTTATCAGTAATTTCCGACAATTTTTCCCTCACATGTGAAAGTAAACAAGATCAGACTTTCATATCTGACATTTTGTCATTTGGCACTATGGCAACAGTTGCATTCAGGTATTTGTCAGGGATTAGACACAGAACAAATGAGGATGAGTACTGTGTTACCAGTGAACTGTCTCCTGCTGCTTTTAGGAAAGTCCAGTCATTAATCACAAGGTAACCAACCTCACATGAACCCTATCAACATGATGATTTGAACCCTATCACTGCATGATATTGCTGTGAACATGCAGGATGTTTGACCGGAGCACCTCGGACCTGATAGATATTGAGTGATGCCCAGGATAAGTGCTTAGACAGCTAAAACCAGAAATATTAACACAATTCTGCATGGTCCCCAATAAGCTGATATCGAGCAGTGAATCAGGTATCAGGTATCGCCAGTAATATAGTTTGGCTATTGATGGAGACGCTGTGGCCTTCCAGAATATCTTCCTTGTCTCACAGATTTAATAAGCTTGGTGTTTTGTAGCTGTAGTCACGTGGAAACTGTAATCTGCATTGCAAATTCTTGGCTGCATCGGTGCAGCTGTTGGATCAGTTGTGTCTTGGCCTTGGTGACCTGTCCGTGGTACAGGATATCAGAATGTTGGAGAACACATTGAGATGTTGAAGTGTCTGGCTTGTACAAAATGTCTGGTCTTGATGGACCGTCGGCGGTACAGAGGATACTGCTTGCTTCCCTGTTGGGATTCTGGGTAGAATAGGCCCTCAAGTACCTCATGCTTGTCTCCCTGTTTGGATTCTGGGTAGAATAGGTCATCTTTACTATTTATTAATGTATAAGAAAATTTTGTACAACAATTAGCAATGTCTAATTTTGAAAATGCCTTAGTATTTGCACTTGAATTGACACCATTGGATACTATGTTCTACATATGTGTGAAATGTTTTACAGTCGAAGGTAGATACAGTGCAAATACTAATGCATTGGTTTTTTTCAGATATAATGAAAATAGTCATCACAAAAAACCCTCTGCTTCCAGGGGTAAATGTAAGAAAGTAGCAACTGATTAATGGGACCATAGACACAGTAATGTTTGTGTAAACAGACTGGAACATTGTAAAACCATACAATTTGACAACTGTTCCCCTTATATTCAGGTCTGTACAATGCCCCACCAAGTGCAAGCACATCGGGTCCGTCGAGGATGGAACGAGGATTGAACCCAAACTTGTCTCGACCTGTTGCCTACCGAGACTATGAGCCCACGACGACCCTTAGAAAAAAACTACTTCCTGTTTTGGATGATGCCATTATATCTGTGGACAGTGTGGAGCTTGGTCAGAGGTAACTTGTGTATCTGTGAGTGAGTGAGTAATGAGTTTAGTTTTACGCCGCACTCAGCAATATTCCAGCTATATAGCGGCGGTCTGTTAATAATTGATTCTGGACTAGGCAATCCGTTGGTCACGAGTATCGATCTATGCAATTGGGAACTGATGACATGTGTTAACCAAGTTTACGAGCCTGACCACCCGATCCCATTAGTCGCGTCTTACGACAAGCATGGGTTACTGAAGATCAATTCTAACCTGGATCTTCATGGGTCATGTGTCTGTGTAATGCATGATGTTGTTATTCACCCTGCACTAGTGGTGATATTAGTTACATACAAACCCTTGATATCTCCCTCAGTCACTAGTTGTGCTCAACCTTAACCAAGATCTGAACATTGATGTGAAATGCATGCTTGAATGTAGTATGTCAGCAGAAATGTAACAATATGAAACATGAAGTTGTGTCTTACACCATTCTGTGTGGGTCGACGTGGTTGTATGCTCTCACATTATGTAATGTGGTTACTGGGTGGCATGTTGTTACATAAAACCAGGTGTCTCTCATTTATATTGGATTAATTAGTCCAAGTGGAACGATTCAGTGATTGAGCATTGGGTCATTGTTAGGAACAATTGATGAGAACAATTCTTGAGAACAATTGATGAGAACAATTCTTGAGAACAATTGATGAGAACAATTAATGACCTCTTGTTTTCATTGTTGGGTGCTATTGTTCTGCATCATTTTCTTTGATCAGAGTTTTCTCATAAAAATCAGAACGTGTTCATCTGAGATAAAGTATTTTATTTTTGAATATGAACATTAGATGTTTTTTGGATTTTTTAACCTGTACAAGGTATGTTTTTATTACCCGTCTACAGCAGGACTTATATACAATGTATTCATCTAGAAAAGAAAACAATTTGAGGCAGAGTGTTTGGAAGTGAGCTGGGCCAGAAGAAGAATCTATTTAATGTATCTCAGTTGAAATACTTCAATTATGCAACCCATGGAGATCAGGGTTAGAACTGGTTTTCAGTAACCCATGCTTATTGTAAGAGGCGACAAACAGGATCGGGCGGTCAGACTCTCTGACGTGGTTGATACATGTCGTCATATCCCAAGTGCGTAGATGGTCATGCTGTTGGTCACTGGATTGTCTTGTCCAGACTTGATTGTTTAAAGACTGCCACCATATAGCTGGAATATTCCTGAGTGTGGTGTTAAACAAGAAACAAACATCTTTTACAAACCATTGATCAACGGCGATCCTGTGAACGTCTGCTGATGATGTTTATATTGATGCACTACCAACACGGAGCAGCTAGCAGTATAATGGCTGCCGGATGTATCTCCTTAGCAAGAAACTCTCAATAATAGAAATTAATGTGTTCACATTTTGCCCATGATGTCGACAGCGAAGTGAAACTGTTGCCGTAGTTGATGTTGGCCACTACTTTCTGTTTGATGTAGTGTTGTTGGAGTCAAATAAGTGACTGGTTGCATGTTTATTTAAATAGATTAAACAGGTGCTGCGTGTGTTGATGTGATAAACCAGACAGTCAGTCCAGCAATGTAAAGAGCTTTGGTTAGCTGGTTAGGTGAAGCAGGGAAATAGCATGGAGCTTGTTTGTGGTTAACCCCATTGTGCAGCTGTAGAAGAATCACGGTTGTTAGCTCACCTGCTGAAGTGAGTGAGTGGGATATGAGATGTCAGGAATCAAACCTGGGTCCTAGGTGTGATCAGCAAATGCATTAACCAGAATTCTTCCCCACCCAGCGTTCAAAGTGGCTACTGGCCCGCTAGCCAAATGCTAGTTGAATGTGAATCGTTCCAGGAATATATTGTTAAAGCTATCCCAACTGGCTAGCTGAAAATCTGAGATAATTTGTTCTTTATTTAATGCACATGAAAATGATGAAGTCAATTATTAAGTTGTTAAAAGTCTGTCTGCCAAAGTTTCGTGATATTTATTATCTCTTGTCACAGGCAGATCGCTATATAAAAACTGTTAATAGCATTGTGCAAAAGAGGTTAGGAACCATTACAATACAAATGTAACGATGTGCATTTTTATATTGATATCTTGCCGGGCCAGTGAAGTATGTTATGGGCTAGCAGCATTTTTACTAAACTAGCCCTCCTGGCCAGCGACTTTTCAAAATTAATTCATACACTGACCCCTCAAATGGTAAATTTAAAAGAGTGCTTGAAAGTGTGCCTGAAAATGTGCAAGTCTAAAAAATTTGGCAAGTCTGTGTATTGGTGTAACTTTGTGTCATGTTGATGCACTATTTTGTGTATTGGTGTAACTTTGTGTCATGTTGGTGCACTACTTTGTGTATTGGTGTAACTTTGTGTCATGTTGGTGCACTATTTTGTGTATTGGTGTAACTTTGTGTCATATTGGTGTACTATTTTGTGTATTGGTGTAACTTTGTGTCATATTGGTGTACTATTTTGTGTATTGGTGTAACTTTGTGTCATGTTGGATTACTATTTTGTGTATTGGTGTAACTTTGTGTCATATTGGTGTACTATTTTGTGTATTGGTGTAACTTTGTGTCATATTGGTGTACTATTTTGTGTATTGGTGTAACTTTGTGTCATGTTGGTGTACTATTTTGTATTGTTGTAACTTTGTGTCATATTGGTGTACTATTTTGTGTATTGTTGTAACTTTGTGTCATATTGGTGTACTATTTTGTGTATTGGTGTAACTTTGTGTCAGATTGGTGCACTATTTTGTGTATTGGTGTAACTTTGTGTCATGTTGGTGCACTATTTTGTGTTGGTGTATTGGTGTAACTTTGTGTCATGTTGGTGCACTATTTTGTATTGGTGTATTTTGTGGTGTGGTCGTGTAGTTTCGTCATCTGTTTATTGTTGTGTGTTGTTGTTATATTGTATGTTCGTGAATGTTATTGCATTGTTTGTGTGTTGAGAGCAAAAAGAAAAGTATTGAATTATTAATTTGATGATATTTAAGTAAGTCCAGACCAATTTTATTTCTTGTTTTACGGATCTACCGGTCGTATTTTTTCAGGAATAAAACAAAAAATTAAAATGAATTTTCCCCACTCAAAAATAAAATCATAATGTTTTTATTGGCCAAAAATGTAAACTTAGAAAAAAATATTTTTCATTGATTTTTGCCCCATTAATTGCCAAAAGTAAAACACTTTTAGTATTTAAAGGAATATTACTTTGACTGGTGATTACTTTTGCGTGTGAGTATATATGTTTTTGTTAGATCAATGTGAAGAACAATGTTACATTTGACATAGTCATAACTAGTTGACATATTCATGAAGAGTATTTTACCATTGCGCGGGATATTGATGACTTTGTCTTCTTGGTATGAAATTCTGTGACTGAAACGTCATTTTATCGGTAGGTGTCATTGATCAGTTTGTGCAGTTAGCATTTCTCAAGGAATTCATTTGGTTAATTGATCTCACTAAAAATAGAAAAGTGTTCAATAGTTTCCTCTGAGAAACATCCACATCTGTGATGCTTCTTTGGAATGCAAAGATGTTATACAATGGATGATGTTAAGATGCAGTGGATGATGTTTTGATGCAATGGATGATGTTAAGATGCAGTAGATGAGGGTATGATGCAGTGGATGTGTTGATAGATGAGGTCATGGTACGATGGGTGAGGTCAAAGTACAATGTCTGGGATTATGATGACGTGGATGAGGTCATTGTGAAGTCGATAAGGTTGTGATGACATGGATGAGGTCATGGTACGATGAATGAGGTAGCAGTGCAGTGGATAATGTTGTGATCACATGGATGAGGTCATAATGCAGTAAATGAGGTCATAGTGCAGTGGAGTGGAGTGAGTGAGTGAGTTTAGTTTTATGCTGCACTCAGCAATATTCCAGATATATGGTGGCGGTCTGTAAATAATCGAGTCTGGACCAGACAATCCAGTGATCAACAGCATGAGCATCGATCTGTGCAATTGGGAACCGATGACATGTATGTCAACCAAGTCAGTGAGCCTGACCACCCTATCCTGTTATGATAAGCATGGGTTACTGAAGATTAATATTCTAACCCGGAACTCTACGGGTCCATAGTGCAGTGGATAAGGTTGTGATGACATGGATGAGGTCATATTGGGGTGGATGGGGTTGTGATAACATGGATGAGGTCATATTGGGGTGGATGGGGTTGTGGTGACATGGATGAGGTCATATTGGGGCGGATGGGGTTGTGATGACATGGATGAGGTCATATTAAGGGGGATGAGGCTGTGATGACATGGATGAGGTCATATTGGGGCGGATGGGGTTATGATGACATGGATTAGGTCATATTGGGGCGGATGAGGTTGTGATGACATGGATGAGGTCATATTGGTGCGGATGAGGCTGTGATGACATGGATGAGGTCATATTGGGGCGGATGGGGCTGTGATGACATGGATGAGGTCATATTGGGGTGGATGGGGTTGTGATGACATGGATGAGGTCATATTTGGGTGAATGGTGTTGTGATGACATGGATGAGGTCATATTGGGGTGGATGGGGATGTGATGACATGGATGAGGTCATATTAAGGGGGATGAGGTTGTGATGACATGGATGAGGTCATATTGGGGCAGATGGGGTTGTGATGACATGGATGAGGTCATATTGGGGTGAATGGGGTTGTGATGACATGGATGAGGTCATATTGGGGTGAATGGGGTTGTGATGACATGGATGAGGTTTTATTGGGGCGGATGGTGTTGTGATGACATGGATGAGGTCATATTGGGGCAGATTGGGTTGTGATGACATGATGAGGTCATATTGGGGCGGATGGTGTTGTGATGACATGGATGAGGTCATATTGGTGCGGATGGGGTTGTGATGACATGGATGAGGTCAAAGTACAATGAACAAGGTAATAGTGCAGTAAATAATGTGATGGAGAATGGATGTGTTCATAATATTGTGAGGTCTTATGCCTAATTGTAACAAACCTTGCCTAGTTAGCAGATGCTGAGAAAGAATACCTCAAGTAAATTCTGATAAGAGTTGTTACTTCTTGAATGAATGCAGTACGCATGTCACATAGCAAAATTAAACCAGGTTTGTTTCATTACTGACTGAGTATAGTTTTATGTCACATCGATCAGTATTACAGCTGGGATTTCACTCACTGACCATTTGGGGAACAGATCCAATCCACACACACTTTTGTTTGGGATTGAGTGAAAACTGAAAAAATCAGATGTTCAGGGTTTCATATCCCACAACCACTTCAAGCAGGCATGGCAGCACCTTAATCACCGTTTGCTTTATGAGACATTTTTCCCTATGTGAAGGTGATGGGTGTGGACTACTAAGCATTATCTGCCAGTGATATCGGCTGTTCAAGTTGCCGATTGACGTGTTGCATTTGCTCTGTCTCATGATAACAGCTGTCTTTCAGACTGGGAGGTGGAATCTTTGGGGATACGCACATCGCCACCTGGCAGGACATGACGGTCGCGGTCAAGAGGATGACCATCAATATCCATGGCAACCAAGTTACCGAAGCAACCATGGAATTTATGAAGAGTGAAGTGTGGTTTCACAGGTGAGTGAGTTTTACAAATGCCTCAGTGCATGGTGGGAACACTTCCACAATCCATCACCCCATGTTCTGTTGTTGTGACAAGTAGTTATATTTTGTGGGAATCTGTTGAATGTAAATTTGATACCTTTAGATTGTTAGCCCAACTGAGCTGCTTTTTCACTCTGTAATTGTATCGACCCGTGAAGATCCGGGGTAGAATAGGTCTTCAGCAACCCATGTGCTTGCCATAAAAAGGCGACTATCTTGTCGTAAGAGGCGACTAACGGGATCGGGTGGTCAGTTTCGCTGACTTGGTTGACACATGTCATCGGTTCCAAATTGCGCAGATCGATGCTCATGCTGTTGATCACTGGATTGTCTGGTCCAGACTCGATTATTTACAGACCGCCGCCATATAGCTGGAATATTGCTGAGTGCGGCGTAAAACTAAACTCACTCACTCACTCACTGTAATTGTATCTAGTCCTGCCTGGACATTACAGAAATTAATAAAAAATGTCAATTAGGTGAAGGACACTGAGGTCAAAGGTTACAGGTAGGCATGGTGTCTGATGACAGTAGTCTACAGACACATGAATGAACCAGATGCCAATTGGCATCCTAATCATATTCCAGAACCCATAGACACATGAAGATCCGTGTTAGAACCCATCAACCCATGCTTGTCGTAAGAGGCAACTAATGAGATCGGGTGGTCAGGCTCACTGACTTGGTTGACACGTCATTACATCCAAATTGGGTAGTTCTGTTGATCATTGGATTGTCTGGTCCAGACTTGATTATTTACAGACCGCTGCCATATTGCTGGAATATTGCTGTTCAGCGTTACCAACAACAATCAACCAGAATCCACAAGAACCAAGTGGTGAAAAATGAGTCAATACAGCCAAACCTGAAAATGTCTTCCAATATTCATGAGTATACAAGAAATACAGGGTATATTTGACAAGTGGATGGGTGATATTGTGACAGGAACATGTAGGGAGGGAACGCTGTAAAGATAATGGGGATCATTGTAAGGCATGAGTGATGAAAAGGCATAACTAGTGTGAGTCGGCATTGGAATAATTAAGGAACAAATGACATTACAAGTGAACTGGGATAATTGCCACTGATTCCGAACACTTAATGAATGCAAACTTTTACCATCTCAACGTCGTTTTTCAAACCCCTCGTTTTATAAGCAACAGAGCAGAAAAACATTAATTCCATCCAGCATTGCAATTTTAAATAAATAATACCTATTGTCATCCATCTTAAAAACCCAGTTCTATTATTTTTATACTTAGCAGGCTCAGCATACATTGTTATTGCTATCTTTATGTCATTTACCTCTTTCAAGATTTATGTTGCTCAGCCTCCAATGTTATTGCTGGTTTTATGTCAAACATATTTTAAATCTTGATGTATACTCAATGTGTCCATGTGCAATAGTGTTATGCCATGCTATTCTATCACAGCATCTGATGTAAAAGAAATTCCTTGGGGTAATAAGGTGTTATTATTTTTATTATCGTAGCTGGGGTTGAAGTTGTAGGACAGTTGCCTGTAGTCAAACTATTGGACTCTTAGCCATTTTAACCTGTCTTTCAAGATAGATTCTGTAAATAATAATATACATGCAACTGAAAGTTTAACGGCAATACCTGGCAGGTGCGTCTATTTACAGGTTACAACACTTCAGCTCATGTCCTATAGAATGCACTATCTCCAGTAAAGACACAAAGTTTTCAAAACATGCAATGTTGAAACTATAAACCTAATTAATTTATTGCAAAAGAGGTCCAACGGTAGATATTTTTATGCATTTATATAAACCTACCGTATTCCTAATGTAACTGTATTCCAGTACATAGTACCCAAAATTACTGAATCAAACGGTATGACGTATGTAGTTTATGAACTTTTAGCAACATGAATTATATATAAATATATGGAAAATAAAGGTTCTTTCATAAACTGTTTGCTATATCAGCTCTTCTTCAGGCTATGTTTGGTAGACAAATATGGAAAACTCTCTGCATCGATAGGCCTATTCAGTGGTATTGATTTAGAGATGATAGATCACTACAAGGAGCTTATGTACTTTTGATGACCCCAGTAACTCTATTGCAAGGCTGACGTCACAGATCATTGTTTCCTGGATGTCTTTTGCAACTTTCACAAATGACCTCAAAGGCAATTGTGACATGATGGAAACTTTGGGGTACTAAATTGTGAAGGTAGGTCAACGTTTCTTCACTTGACAGACAGAATGCTGGAGGACAGCCTTTAAGCCTCCACAAGGCCCATTTGTGGAAATATTATATTATAATTGTTACATTGTTGATAGGTGATGTATACATAATATAGTGTATTGTGTTTCCATTGATGTAAAGTAAATACCCTCGACCAATTCACTACCATGATTCAAATTGGGTTTTATTTCACAGTCTCTGTTTCTCTTATCACCATGATGAGGTGAATAGGATATCGACATGGTCAAACTGAGTTTGATGACCGGGGAACTTTTGTTAGTGGTCTGAGATCCCGATTTGCTGTTTATTTTGGCTGTTGTGGTTTTATGTTTAACGGGTATCTACAGGAAAGAGGTTTTACCTCTGTAAGAATCACCACATCCACAGCTTATCTTGTAGACCACTCCTTTTGGGGTGACTGTTGGAGGCTGGTTTATGTCCTTTAGCTTGGAGGATGGTGCCGAGACATGGGGAACCAGTGAAGATGTTGTTGATGCTTGCTGGATGCTTTTATAGTCTGTTGAATTGGGAGGTCTTGTCAATGTAGAGTAGAGTGATTCTGACGGGGGAGGATTCAGACTGGGTCGGATTGTTTGGGTTGGAGTCTGGTAGAAATGGTGACTAACTTGGTGGGATTGTTTGGGTTGGAGTCTGGTAGAAATGGTGACTGACTTGGTGGGATTGTTTGGGTTGGAGTCTGGTAGAAATGGTGACTGACTTGGTGGGATTGTTTGGGTTGGAGTCTGGTAGAAATGGTGACTGACTTGGTGGGATTGTTTGGGTTGGAGTCTGGTAGAAATAGTGACTGACTTGGTGGGATTGTTTGGGTTGGAGTCTGGTAGAAATGGTGACTGACTTGGTGGGATTGTTTTGGGTTGGAGTCTGGTAGAAATGGTGACTGACTTGGTGGGATTGTTCTGGTTGGAGTCTGATAGAAATGGTGACTGACTTGGTGGGATTGTTTGGGTTGGAGTCTTGTAGAAATGGTGACTGACTTGGTGGGATTGTTTGGGTTGGAGTCTGGTAGAAATGGTGACTGACTTGGTGGGATTACTGGTTGAGGTTGGTGAAGACGATTAAGTTAATGTTCAAGGTCATGGCTGCTTGATCAGGGTTAAGATGATGCCAGACGTAGTTTTAGTGGGATGGTTAGAGTTGAAATGAATGTACTGGTGGGTTTCCTGTAGTTTGGGTTGGATCTTTCTGCTGTGGTCTCTGGATACAAGGACATCTGAATGGAAGATCGTTCCTGGTCTCTGTCTCCATGGTGAATCTGATATGGGGATGTTGGGCATTGAGGTCTTGAGGTGCTGGTGTAGTGGTGTGGGGTTCTGGGTGCCAAGCAACCATAGCACTGCCAGTCATACGTTTATGTTATGATATTGGAGTTACAATCACATTGGCACTACGATCACTTTATACAATGGCATCCTGGTCATTTCTGAGGATTACCGATGTGTCAACCACCGTCTGATACCAATAGAAAGGATGGATTGGGGATTTGGAGAGGACTTCATCTTCAAAATGAGTCAATATTCAATATTTAATTTCATTCCTTCCAGAAAAGACCAGCATACTTCATACTGAAGCCTTTCATGAAGTAAATGTCCACTTGTCATACACGACATATTTCCTGGAATGTTCACTTGTCATACACGACATATTTCCTGGACTGTTCACTTGTCATACACGACATATTTCCTGGACTGTTCACTTGTCATACACGACATATTTCCTGGACTGTTCACTTGTCATACACGACATATTTCCTGGACTGTTCACTTGACATACACGACATATTTCCTGGACTGTTCACTTGTCATACACGACATATTTCCTGGACTGTTCACTTGTCATACACGACATATTTCCTGGACTGTTCACTTGACATACACGACATATTTCCTGGACTGTTCACTTGTCATACACGACATATTTCCTGGACTGTTCACTTGTCATACACGACAAATTTCCTGGACTGATTACTTGTCATACACGACATATTTCCTGGACTGTTCACTTGAGTGTATTCCTCCAACATGTAGTCTGGCGTTGTGTGTTGTAGCCGACAGCGCCACAAGAACATCGTGACAGTGGTGGGCCTCTGCCTGGACGGCAAACACCCCTACATCATCACAGAGTACGTCAACGGAGAGTGCCTCAAGGACGTCATCAAACATAAAGGAACCGAACTCACATGGCCTCAGAGAGTCAAGATGGTGGGTCAACTCATATTGGGAGTCTACTTTAGGCCTTCAATATTATATTTTGTATTATCAACTCAATTCACAGCTGCAGGGAGAGACAGGAAACAATTAGATGTTAAAAGACTCATGTCAGGGTTAAAAACCAGCTTTATCGTTCATGAAAAACATGCTCTGGCTTTGAATATTGTACAAACATTGTTAATTATTCAGGTCCAGAGATATGATGAACATTTATCCTATGTTATCAGTGTCATGGAGTGGCCGACGGCATGGCCTTCCTGCACTCCACCAAGCCCCCAATCATCCATCGCGATCTCCGCTGTGCCAACCTCTTCCTGCTGCAAGATGACATCATCAAGGTGGGTGAGATAGTTTGTTAGGTTTAATGTTGTTGTGTACAGTAAAGTATTGTCAGCTTTGTACAACTTAAACAAGATAAATTGTAAATAGTAAATCTGATTCAAATCCTCACATACAGGCTGGTGCCAGCAAACCAAGAATACCAATGACAATGAGTGATTCTGTCTGCACTTCTGTTGGCAGGTGGCTGACTTTGGTTTGGTGAAACTGTTGCAGCCAGTCAGACAGGAGTGTCTACAAGATGACTGCTGTTGTAAGTTGTGGTCTGGAAAGTACTTTCTTCATTGAGGAATGCACAGGGAAATCACGTCTGTTTAATGGGTCAGAGAAGTATCTTGTTAAGAAACAGAAAATTGGAAAACTTGTCCTATCTCGCAATGTGCGCTTTCCTCTGTTCTTAAACTGTGGAGGGGAAACAGCTTTGACAAGATTTCTAGTACCACTTCCTCCCAGCATACCCCAGTACCAGTACCACTTCCTCCCAACATACCCCAGTACCAGTACCACTTCCTCCCAGCATACCCCAGTACCAGTACCACTTCCTCCCAGCATACCCCAGGTCCAGGTGTCATTGTAGGCAGTCATAGGAAGGCCATGCAAAGCATGCAGTTTGCCTTGGCTGACCACGTTACACTCTACTGAAGTTATTCTCTGTTTTGTCAACATCCTTTGCAGAGAGAGGTCATTCTAATTTTTTTCATTCATGACCTGTATGGTTCTACAAATAATACAGTCTCAATGAGGCTTTTGATGGTTTAGTTAAGCTTATACTTATCTAGGAAGTTATACAGAGAAGAAAGATGAAGAAGCATGGGAAATGATGACAATACAAGGGAAAGAGAAAAAGTCTGTTCATCTTGCAAATGGACCTTTTCAGTGCATGACCCTCATGGGGGTGGTAGAGACTTCCTGGACGATGATGCTTTTGCTGCCTTGAGGAAACTGAAAGGTTGTACTCTTTCCACTTACCTCACAGCTATCAACTCGGTTGTGGTTACATCTACAAGGAAGTTCAATCCCTGCTTCGACCTGCCAAGCTGATGAACCAATTGATCATTTCTGCGCTTCTTAATCACCTCAGCAAACTATGAAGCACTTGAAGAGAAAGAATTTGAATGTATCAAGATAATCTTTCTTCTAGCTTTTGCAACAGAAGCAAGAAATCCATGATCTGAATGTTAACAGGGTGCAAAGTAAACAGAATGGCAACGATCAATACAATTCTGTTTTTACACTTCATTGACTAGAGTTAACTCTACACTAACAAGCAATCATGTTGAATGAGTAAAAAGATTCAGGTATTTCTGATTGTGTGGGAATTACAAACGTTCCTCTCCTGTGTTCTTCAAACATTGATGACAAGGAGGTGTCATTGATAGGAAAGGATCAGACAATCCAGGAGCAATGACCCAATCGTTTTTCCTTTACTTGTATGTATGTCTGTGGGGGAAGGGGGGCGGGGAGGGACAGTTCGAAGATCTAAAGGTTCTTGGATTCTGGGGAATGTTAAAAATCAGAGTGGTACAGTCTTCCCCTGTCTCTTAGTTCCGTCATTGTCCTTTCACAATGATACAACAAGATACGAGGATTACCCAGGATTGGCAGGACCTTGTAAAGTATCACTAGGCAGGTTCAGAAACAACCCATCACAATTCAGGTCTAGAATCTGTAAAGAATTTTAGGACGATAATACTGATCTGTGTCCTTGTGAACAAATCATCTCACAGGAGTTGTTTCCCTACAGACTGGGGTGATCTGTGAGCCTCCATTCGACCATGGGATAAATGCATAATGTGTTATGCGATAAAAGTATATATTTAGAATACGTATCCTATCTCACATGATGGACACACCCAACCCCGACAAACTCCACTACACTGATTACAACAGACAAGGGAATGATTTCATTAGGGAGTCACCTGGTCAACCAAGGCAAGACGCATGTTTTGCATGGACTTCCAATAACTGCCAACCGCAATAGATGAATTGTTGTATGCTTGGATGAGGTGGTACTGGTGGCTTCGAACCAGTCTCCACAGTTGAAGAACAAGGGAAATTGCACAACATGAGACAGGATAATTATAATGATTATACAATTTATAATAAAAATTACTTCATTACTTTTAAGTAGTGGTCAAGGAAGTACTTTCTCATATTAAGTGTAGTGATCAGGTTAGTGCTATCTTAACTAATGAAGTGGCCAAGAAAGGCAGGAGTGATAGCAAAAGCACTTTATGAAGCTGTAAGTAGTTGTTAGGAAGGGAGAATGTTGTTGTAGTGGTCTTCACTCCATATCCAAGTTTCAAAATAAGAATAGAAAATTAATTTGTTCTTTAGTTCCAAAACACAATTTAAAGCCACTGACTTGTTACTATGGGTACAAGAGGTTGTTGTCTGTAGGTCAGCGTCAGTACAGTGCATGTCCTGCTTCATTCCGATGGACGGCGCCGGAGCTCCTGAACCACCCCACAGCCCAGGAGGACGATGCGGTCATCACAACAGCATGTGATGTGTTTTCTTATGGTGTCATCATGTGGGAGATCATTGTGTGTGCTGACCCCTTCGATCACCTCCAAACAGAACAAGAGGTACAACAATGTTTGACAATGTGAATGAGAGTATTGTGTGTTGCCAGGTGATGGAGGCTATTACAATGTTTGACAGTGTGAATGAGAGTATTGTGTGTTTCCAGGCGATGGAGGCAGTAAACAATGTTTGACAATGTGAATGAGAGTATTGTGTGTTGCCAGGTGATGGAGGCTATAACATTGTTGACAATGTGAATGAGAGTACTGTGTGTTGCCAGGTGATGGAGGCAGTAAACAATGTTTGACAATGTGAATGAGAGTATTGTGTGTTGCCAGGTGATGGAGGCAGTAAACAATGTTTGACAATGTGAATGAGAGTATTGTGTGTTGCCAGGTGATGGAGGCAGTAAACAATGTTTGACAATGTGAATGAGAGTATTGTGTGTTGCCAGGTGATGGAGGCAGTAAACAATGTTTGACAATGTGAATGAGAGTATTGTGTGTTGCCAGGTGATGGAGGCAGTAAACAATGTTTGACAATGTGAATGAGAGTACTGTGTGTTGCCAGGTGATGGAGGCAGTTAACAATGTTTGACAATGTGAATGAGAGTATTGTGTGTTGCCAGGTGATGGAGGCTAAAACAATGTTTGACAATGTGAATGAGAGTGTTGTGTGTTGCCAGGTGATGTAAACAATGTTTGACAATGTGAATGAGAGTGTTGTGTGTTGCCAGGTGATGGAGGTGGTAAACAATGTTTGACAATGTGAATGAGAGTATTGTGTGTTGCCAGGTGATGGAGGCAGTAAACAATGTTTGACTATGTGAATGTGAGAGTACTGTGTGTTGCCAGGTGATGGAGGCAGTAAACAATGTTTGACAATGTGAATGAGCGTTTTGTGTGTTGCCAGGTGATGGAGGCAGTAAACAATGTTTGACAATGTGAATGAGAGTACTGTGTGTAGCCAGGTGATGGAGGCAGTTAACAATGTTTGACAATGTGAATGAGAGTACTGTGTGTAGCCAGGTGATGGAGACAGTAAACAATGTTTGACAATGTGAATGAGAGTACTGTGTGTTGCCAGGTGATGGAGGCAGTAAACAATGTTTGACAATGTGAATGAGAGTACTGTGTGTTGCCAGGTGATGGAGGCTATAACATTGTTGACAATGTGAATGTGAGAGTACTGTGTGTTGCCAGGTGATGGAGGCTATAACAATGTTGACAATGTGAATGAGAGTATTGTGTGTTGCCAGGTGATGGAGGCTATAACAATGTTTGACAATGTGAATGAGAGTACTGTGTGTTGCCAGGTGATGGAGGCAGTAAACAATGTTTGACAATGTGAATGAGAGTACTGTGTGTTGCCTGGTGATGGAGGCTATAACAATGTTGACAATGTGAATGAGAGTATTGTGTGTTGCCAGGTGATGGAGGCAGTAAACAATGTTTGACAATGTGAATGAGAGTACTGTGTGTTGCCAGGTGATGGAGGCTATAACATTGTTGACAATGTGAATGTGAGTATTGTGTGTTGCCAGGTGATGGAGGCTATAACAATGTTTGACAATGTGAATGAGAGTACTGTGTGTTGCCAGGTGATGGAGGCAGTAAACAATGTTTGACAATGTGAATGAGAGTACTGTGTGTTGCCAGGTGATGGAGGCTATAACAATGTTTGACAATGTGAATGAGAGTACTGTGTGTTGCCAGGTGATGGAGACAGTAAACAATGTTTGACAATGTGAATGAGAGTACTGTGTGTTGCCAGGTGATGGAGGCTATAACATTGTTGACAATGTGAATGAGAGTATTGTGTGTTGCCAGGTGATGGAGGCTATAACATTGTTGACAATGTGAATGAGAGTACTGTGTGTTGCCTGGTGATGGAGGCTATAACAATGTTTGACAATGTGAATGAGAGTATTGTGTGTTGCCAGGTGATGGAGGCAGTAAACAATGTTTGACAATGTGAATGAGAGTACTGTGTGTTGCCAGGTGATGGAGGCTATAAAAACATTGTTTGACAATGTGAATGAGAGTATTGTGTGTTGCGAGGTGATGGAGGCAGTAAACAATGTTTGACAATGTGAATGAGAGTACTGTGTGTTGCCAGGTGATGGAGGCAGTAAACAATGTTTGACAATGTGAATGAGAGTACTGTGTGTTGCCAGGTGATGGAGACAGTAAACAATGTTTGACAATGTGAATGAGAGTACTGTGTGTTGCCAGGTGATGGAGGCTATAACATTGTTGACAATGTGAATGAGAGTATTGTGTGTTGCGAGGTGATGGAGGCTATAACATTGTTGACAATGTGAATGAGAGTATTGTGTGTTGCCAGGTGATGGAGGCTATAACAATGTTTGACAATGTGAATGAGAATACTGTGTGTTGCCAGGTGATGGAGGCAGTAAACAATGTTTGACAATGTGTATGCGAGCACTGTGTGTTTCCAGGTGATGGAGGCAGTAACAATGTTTGACAATGTGAATGAGAGTGTTGTGTGTTTCCAGGTGATGGAGGTAGTAACAATGTTTGACAATGTGAATGAGAGTACTGTGTTTTCAGGTGATGGAGGCAGTAAACAATGTTTGACAATGTGAATGAGAGTACTGTGTGTTGCCAGGTGATGAAAGCAGTACAAAGTGGACGGCGGCCAGATATTCCGACTTCCGCTGAGGTTATGCCTCAATACAGGGAGATGCTGAGAGAATGTTGGTGCCAGGAGCCACAGAATCGACCCACGTTTAAACAGGTGAGAACTTGCTGTGACAGGGGTAACATTGCCTTATATATGGTGATGCTGAGATAGTGTTGGACAGAGCCACAGACTTGACCCATGTTTAAACAGGATTTAACAGAACAGGGTTAACACAAAGATGCCACAACAAAGAAATGTATTCTGCTGGCTGTTATATCGAACACAGTAACTTTGTCTGTTACATGTCTGTTTCAGATATTTGAAACAATATCTTTCTTGATATTATTGTGACAATTTACAGACTGAATTAATGAAACTGTTGTATTATGCTTTTACGCTCAAGTCTACATGAACAAGGAAGATGGTGACAGAGCCTTGATGTAGATTTGGTTATGGTAATGTGAAAGGAAATATATATTTGTCACAACTTCTTTGCTGATATAACTTGGTTGTTTACAGGTTGCAGTCCGACTTAGGGAAATCTCCCATCAGTCAAGATCCTTTCAGAAAGTTGTAAACAACAAACACAAACACCGAGAACAGACTCTGAATGTGCAAGTGTAGTTTGTGAAGCAAGGACTTTCTTGTGACCTCTGGGACATGTTGATTCAGGGGCAACTAGGGACAGAGATCTGAGAACTTGTTGATTCAAGGTCACATACAAGTGATCGTTGAAGGGACTCGTGGGTGTCTGTCCAAGTCTTGGACTGGGGATGTGGCACCTTCGGACTGGGACTGATCCTACGATGAACAATACCAGTTCTGATATATCCCAATCACATCCCAACACAATATCATCTTGGAAAACTTGTTTGACTGTTGTTACCATGGAAACAGGAAAGCTGTCTTTCTTCAGTGCTGCCAAATTCATCTCCTGCTTACTGTGTATATAAAAGCTAGCCCAGTCAGACACTACTGTGTCACATTGGAGGGACCTACAGGAATACTTTGAGTTAGAAGATCAGTGCTGATAACGTGAGAACCATGGATAGTGTCCACATGATCAGTGCTGATAACATGAGAATTGTGGATAGTTTCCTCCATATGATCAGGGGTGATAACATGAGAATTGTGGATAGTTTCCTCATGATCAGTGCTGATAACATGAGAATTGTGGATAGTTTCCTCATGATCAGTCCTGATAACATGAGAATTGTGGATAGTTTCCTCCATATGATCAGAGGTGATAACATGAGAACCATGGATGGTGTCCACATGATCAGAGGTGATAATGAAGGTCAGCTTACTTGTGGCCTGCAGCGAGGACATCATCATGTGAAGTACCCACTACTTAATGTACTACATGTAACCTATATTAAACAGAGTTATGTCCCCTGATGACAGGATCCAGTGCTTGCTGGTAGTTTGACTCCCAGAGAGATGAAACACTAGTTATTCTTCCTGCAAGGTGGGGAATACACCATTTCATATTCATTTTCATATTCAAAGAGATGTGAGAATATCTGATGTATCTATCCCACATGTTTACGCCCATCCCACACCCACCATATTTCAATACCAAAATCCGAGGTCGGACCCTGACCTGTTTGATGTATACTTCTTGGATATTCCCTGTTGTGATTTTAAGATGTTTTATTGTCATAAATTGTGCAATACATTTACAATGAACTGGTTATTTAATCCAAATGACAGCAGATTATTATATCTTAAGGAAAATGAAATGGCTCTCTGTTCTTCTTAGTAAGTATATTTTATATCTACATATTGGTGGCCAGATGTTTGACAACAGGCACGTATATGTTTGTAAACATGGCAATATATTTGTTAATGAGTGTGACTGTTCAAATGTTTGTAGATGTAATGGGCAGGATTGATTGATTGTGTGTTGTTTACCAAAGTGCCCAATAGCGTTCTAGAATAATGAATGTTCAATATTCACCTGTGGAGAGATGATCCATTTAATAACACACTTATTGAACACTGTTATTGAACAGTGTTTAATGATATCACGTGTAGATGAGACTGTTCATGGCATCAACTTGCCTGTTGACTGGTAGCATCGATAGCTCCATGCACCTGTTTCCTAGATGGATAAGCAAATCATTATAGACTATTTTTAACAAAATATACTATTGTTTTATTGACATCCATCAGCCTATTAATGAGTTATCTCAGTTCACATTGATCTGTTGCAGGAATTGCGAACTAATATGTTTGGAGAAAGGGTAGAGACATTTTTGGGGATTTCTCTGGTCATGGCTTAGTGTTCATGGCGTCAGTAAGACAAAATATACTGAAGGAAAAAAGATATGGATCATGAATATTCATTTTGATATATGATTGATATTGTGTGTTGATTGTACTTACGACTGTGTAGGACTTTGGACCAAGTAGACAGTTGTGAGAAATGTCTGCATGTCAATCAATGCAATGTTTTGTCATGAATATTTTATGTTCCAGAACTGTGCCCATGCTGTTGCTTACCAGTAATTACATTGAGCTCCAAATATCAAATCTTACTAACAGATAACCCATCTGCTGACTCTGGGAAATTGCAGAGTCACGTGACACGTAACTCGAACGTCAATCGTTGTACAGGCACCCTGACACTGATCTTGGGCATTGATCTTATTGTTCAATGCAAATGTTACGAAGATGTTGTTAAAATTGGCATGGTATTATTTCATATAATGGATCTTTGAGAAAGCTGCACATTGTATTGCCAGCAGCACCATGATAGAGGGTCTATTTTCCATCTTCCTCTATGAATGTTGTATTCATAAGCCAAGAATATTTTTAAACATTTTTTGCAACATAGAATTTGTATAAGTTTCATAATATGAGTCAAATATATTACGATACCATTTTTACTTCAGGTGCTTTTTTTGATAAGTTATTTCGGGGTACTAGCACTAGATATTTATCCTATTTAGCCAGTACATAACGCCATACTGTGACTTGTGTGCCGGCCGGAGACTGACTGGCGATATGATATCAGGGTCCTTGACATACGGGTCATGGGATGATTCTGATTGGGATAGAGTGCAGGGGTCAGAGGAAGGTTAGGTCGCAAGGGTATGGTCACATCATTGGTAGGTCATAGGTCATGAGGGTGGGGTTGAACGTCATGGGTGCTTTCAGATCCACTGGTCGAAGGGGGTTGTTTACATGTGTCATTTACAGATAATCAATCCACTTAGATATTGAGGCAAGTTCATTTCATCTGTGGTGATTCCAGGTTAGAATTAATAAGAATATTCTTCTTGTTAAAGATGACATGGATTATATGGTCAGACTTGGTTGCTGACCAGTCTGTTGTCTAGTCCATACTATATGCTTTACTGGCCTTTGTCTTGTAGCTGGAATATTGCTGAGTGTGGCTTTAAACAACAAAAACATATATTTCACTGACCTTGGCAAAATTTCAAACCTTTTCTGAAGGAATGTGCTTTCCCCCACCAGCTAGTATTGCCATGGAAACATTTGCAGTCAACCATTATGATGTTTTTGAACGGCCAAGGCTTTGGCTGCCAAGCTGTGGTCTTTACATGAGCCAGGCTGTCAAAACTTGTACTCCTCCTAGTCTGTCAGTCCTGCCATCAAGGGTCAGGGTCGTTAAGAGGGTCAAGGTCATCAGACGTTTTCTGAAGGGGCAAGGTCAGTGGTTGTCAGAAAGGACAAGGAATGTCTGAGGTCTTTGGGAGGTATAGGGTCATTGGGGTCAGCATTTGTTTTAATTGGGTATCACAGAGCTTAGATCAAATTGAATCTTCTGCAGCTACAGTGTTACACTGACTTATGTCTGGATATCAATTCTGTGTCAGCAGGAGTTTAGCTTGTCCTACATAGATAATTTTTGTGTCACAGTATTTTCTGACTTAGTTGACTTATTACATGGATGTAAGTACCGAACAAGATCAGACTGGCTTCTTTTAGGATTATCTGACTTAGTGGACTTATTACAATAATATTCTGTCTACTGTTTTGTGGGGCTTACAGTCTGTTTGACATGATCTCAGAGTAACTTAGTGTACCCCAGCTCCACACTGCAACTAATGTGGCACACAGTGCAGTGAGCTTTTAACATGTAGAGAATGATTCTTATTACAATCTACACCACTGTGTCTATTTATCGATAACACTCATGTCAAGATCGTTCTTTGTGTTTTTGTCCCATGACATAAAGATTTCAAAAGCTGTAAATTTGACCGTTTACCATTTTTGCCTTCTGTATGTAATCTGCGTGGTGCAGCTCTCCACTTATGAGATGTGGTTGTGGTAACTCCTGGCCACATAACACTCTTCTTAGAAACTTGTCACTTGGTGATGACATGACCAGATGATAACATGGCTAGATGATGATTGGCTGGAACATAGCATGGAAGGTGATGACACGACCAGATGATAACATGGCTAGATGATGATTGGCAAGAACACAACATGGCAAGGTGATGACACGACCAGATGATAACATGGCTAGATGATGATTGGCTGGAACATAGCATGGAAGGTGATGACACGACCAGATGATAACATGGCTAGATGATGATTGGCAAGAACGCAACATGGCAAGGTGATGACACGACCAGATGATAACATGGCTAGATGATGATTGGCAAGAACGCAACATGGCAAGGTGATGACACGACCAGATGATGTCATGGCAAGATGACGATTGGCTAGATCAAGGCATGGCAAGGTGATGACTTGACCGGATGATGTCATGGCAAGATGACGATTGGCTAGATCAAGGCATGGCAAGGTGATGACTTAAGCAGATGATGCCATGGCTAGATGACGTTTGGCTAGACCAAGGCAATGGCAAGGTGATGAATTGACCAGATCATGCCATGGCTAGATGACTTAGTTAGATAATGGTGGCAGGACTAAATAATGACACGGCCAAATGAAGACATGGCTAGGGGATGGCATGTTAGATGGCAACATGCCTAGATGGCCACATTGTCCGATGACATGGCGCTATGATGTCATTGTTAGGTGATCACATGACTGAATGATGACGAAACCAGGTGACAACATTTCAAGATGATGACACAGCCAGATGACGTTATGTTAAATGGTAACATTTCCACATTACAACATTGTCACATGATCACATGGCTAGACGATTACAAATGGGCTAGTGCCTGAATTGAATCGCATTACAGTTATATAAGGGCATCCTAGTGCAGGAGGGTATGCATATCACCTCTGTGGAACATACCAGCGCTGACATAGTGCTGACTCGGCTAGTCTCATTATCAGGGAAATCCTTGATTTACATACACATCAGTGAAACTACTAGCTCCAATGAAGTTGACTCAACAATGATTACAATATTTGGTTCTTGTTCCTGTCATAATGCTTATGTGTTGATAATGGCTGTCTCTTGAATATATCTCTTAATTAATAATGTCTGTTCTTTAATGTCTGATACCTAATAATGCCAGTAATAATGATATCTGTGTCTTAATAATTGTCTTTCACTTGATAACCGCTGTGTCTTACTTAAGAATTTGTGTCCATATGTTGATAATATCTCTTACTTCATAATATCTGTGTGATATTTCACAAGTTTTTTGACAGATCTTTACTCCATCGCTTCAGGCAGTGTAGTAATTGTACATGTGGACAATTTCTGTTATATTGCATTACCTTGACAGAGATCATTTAAGTGTTAAACCAACACTGGGATGTGAAACTAGCTATACCGATTTCTTGTTAAGTGTTCTTTGGAATCTAGCTGGGAGAGACAGCTACCTGACTTTATTTTCATTATAATGGCTAAATGTCAGTAATTCTGATTGCATTATTTTTAGCTCAAGTTTACTTTTCTGACATCATTAAAACCACAAGGGATGTGATTCCTAACTATATGAAGGATAAATGGGTCTCTAACACCTCACGGGGCGGTGGGGTAGCCTAGTGGTTAAAGCGTTGGCTCGTCAGGCCGAAGACCCGGGTTCGAATCCCCACATGGGTACAATGTGTGAAGCCGATTTCTGGTGTCCCCCGCTGTGATGTTGCTGGAATATTGCTAAAAGCGGCGTAAAACTAAACTCAGTCAGTCAGTCTAACACCTCACAGAATCCAAAACCTTGCAAGATCCAGTGAAATTGTTCTTCATCAAGTATAAGAGACACTTTACAGGATCAGAGGTATGTCATCATATCTCAGTTGATTAGATCTGTGCTCATGATGTCAATCACTAGACTGTCTCTTCCAGACTTTATTCCTTACAGGCCTCAGTCATACAGTTGTACTATTGCTGAACTCAGCATTAAACATCAGACGAAAAACTGTCAATTCAAATCTGGTTTGAAGAATGTTCTCCATAATGTCTTCATAAGTAAGGTGAGCTTCAGAACCTTGTGCCTCTGCTTGTTAGATGTTTCTTAACCAGCACTGGCAGTTGAAGCTTATGATGTATGAGAGAGTCAATTAAAACAATGCCAACTTAACTAATCTAACAATATCAAATATACTGAGTCAAAAACGAAACTTCACAAAATGTAATTTTGAAAAATAATGATTAATTTTTCTCTGATGATACATCAATGTATCCGAAATGGGATCCCTGTCTTTCGACTCTAGAAAAATGTTAGCAAAACCCACTCAAACCCATCCATTCGTCGTGCAAATGACGTTAGTGCCAAATCAGGTTTTGCACGTGCAGTCGATCAAGTGATCTTCGCATTGAAGTTTTCTTCATATGCACTTGTTTGCATTGGCCTCAAGAATTGAAAAAACACTTTTAAATCACAGTTCTAACGGTACTTGAAATGCCACGATTGTCAGGAAGATCAGTTATTGACGTCGCAAGAGCAATGGGAGGCTGCCGTCGTACTGTGTATGACTTGCGAGGTCATCTACAACAAACTGGCACCACTTCTGATCGCCCAAGGTCGGGTCGTCCACGTGTGACGTCACGAGCAGAAGACCGTCAAATCGTCCTATGTCACCTAAGTGACAGATTTCTGCCGGCTACACGAACCAGGGCTGAGATGGTTAGAGGTCGACTGTCCTCACAAACCATTCTAAATCGGTTGCGGGCTGCCAATCTCCATTCTCGACGTCCATATCGTGGGCCAATATTGACGCCGTTTCATCAACGTCAGCATCTGCTGTGGGCCCAATGTCAACTCCGATGGACCCAGAGAGACTGGAATCAAGTCGTCTTTAGCGATGAATCCAGGTTAACCCTCAGATTCGCGGAGGGCAGGCATAGAGTCTGGAGACGACGTTGTGAACGGTATGCCCAATGTTGTGCACAGGAAGTTGACGGAATTGGGGGCGGAAGTTGCATGGTGTGGGGTGCTTTCTGTGGGAACAACCGTTCATCCGTGGAAACCTCACAGCTGCTGCTTACCGCAACCAGGTGCTCACCCCTGAACTCGCTCCTTTCATGGCGGCTCATGGCCCAGGTCTACAGTTCCAGCACGATAATGCTCGGCCGCATACCGCGATGTTGACACGAAATTTCCTTCAAAACGCTGGAATCAATGTCATGGACTGGCCATCGAGGTCCCCTGACCTTAATCCAATAGAGAACGTTTGGGATGCACTTGGGAGAAGGCTTCGTGATCTTAGGAACCAACCTCAGAATTTGCAGGAACTTGGTGCTGCCTTGCAAGAGCAATGGCGCAGAACCCCTAACCACGTGTTCACAAGCATCAGGCAGTCAATGAGGAGACGGTGTTTGGCAGTGGTGAATGCGTGGGGTGGCCATACACGATATTGAACTGAGAAATTTCGCATTTTTTTTCTTGTGACTTGTCATTCTTTATACCCATGTTTTGGAACGGCAGTGTAGCCTAATGGAACTGATTATGGCACTGTCATTGTATCGAGTACATCACACAGATCTCAACAATGAAATAATAACAATTTAACCATCTTACCATCTCTTGTTCTTTTATAGTGCCCTGAAGAAAGAATGTGAAGTTTCTTTTTTGACTCAGTATATCTTAAATGAGTTAGTACAATTATGTGTCTTGTTTTGTAAATGTTGTGTTATCCATACAGAGGAAGAATGATGTGTTCTGTATGTGCAGAGGAAGAATGTGTTCTATATGTTGTCCATGCAGGGAAAGAGTGATGTGTTGTGTACGTGTGGTCCATGCAGAGGAAGAATGGTCTATTCTGTACATGTGGCCCATGCAGAGGAAGAATGGTGTGGTCCATGTAGAGGAAGAATGGTGTGGTCCATGCAGAGGAAGATTGGTGTGTTCTGTATGTGTGGTCCATGTAGAGGAAGAGTGATGTGTTCTGTACATGTCGTCCATGCAGAGGAAGAGTGATGTATTCTGTATGTGTTGTCCATGCAGAGGAAGAATGATGTGTTCTGTTATGTGTGGTCCATGTAGGGGAAGAATGATGTGTTCTGTATGTGTGGACCATGTGTGGTCCATGTGGATGTAAAGGAAGAATGATGTGTTCTGTATGTGTGGTCCATGTAAAGGAAGAATGATGTGTTCTGTATGCGTGGGCCATGTAGAGGAAGAGGGATGTGTTCTGTACAAGTGGTCCATGTAGAGGAAGAATGATGTGTTCTGTATATGTGGTCCATGAAGAGGAAGAATGATGTGTTCTGTATGTGTGGTCCATGCAGAAGAAGAGTGATGTGTTCTGCATGTGTGGTCCATGTAGAGGAAGAGTAATGTGTACTGTACGTGTTGTTGTTGTCACAAAGGAAGTGCATTGTGCCCGTCATCTGCTTGATTGCAAAGTTGTTCTCTTGCTCACAGAACCTACAATGAAACTGTTATTTCTACAATAAACTGATGAAATGAATGTCTTGTTTTTCATTTTCAAGAGCTGCGTGTAGATGCCATCCTGTAAGAGAGTGAGTGAGTGGTTTTTATTTTACGCCACTTTTAGCAATATTCCAGCAATATCACGGTGGGGGACACCAGAAATGAGCTGCACACATTGTACCCATGTGGGGTTTCGAACCCAGGTCTTCGGTGTGACGAGCCAACACTTTAACCACTGACTGACTGAGTTTAGTTTTACGCCGCTTTTAGCAATATTCCAGCAATCATGGCGGGGGACACCAGAAATGGGTTTAACACATTGTGCCCATGTGGGGAATCGAACCCGAGTCTTCGGCATGACGAGACAACGCTTTAACCACTAGTCTACCCCACCGCCCCTCCTGTAAGAGACCAAGTCACGGAGTGAGTGTAGGTGCTGGTGTCTTT